GCCGCTGTACCGCCACCCGCCGCTGTACCGCCACCCGCCGCTGTACCGCCACCCGCCGCTGTACCGCCACCCACCGCTGTACCGCCACCCGCCGCTGTACCGCCACCCGCCGCTGTACCGCCACCCGCCGCTGTACCGCCACCCGCCGCTGTACCGCCACCCACCGCTGTACCGCCACCCGCCGCTGTACCGCCACCCACCGCTGTACCACTTCATTTTTTTTGCTCGAGATTATTTTGTTGTTGATAAACAACGCGAAATATATCATAATAATAATATATTATGATAATAATATATTATGATAATAATATATTATGATAATAATATTTGATAATCATTTATTTTCAACTAATCGTGAACATAGACGCTGTTGATCAATGAACTCTACAACGTTCACAAGCAGGCCCCGTATCATCAAGCGTTATTATACACCCAGAGAAATAAGCGAGACTTTGTCCGAATAGCCATGCACTATTTGCCCCCCTGTAGGTAATCCTGACACACCCTTACGCTCTGCCAAGCATAAGGGTGTATCATATCTACGGACAGGAAGTGTGTCACTGCTAAGACAAAATGATCCTTACATTCTTCTTAGTGTAGCCAATATCATTATATAGTATTATTATATAATAATGTTAATATTATATTGGTATATAATATTACGGTGCTATGACACGCTTATTCGGTCCTACCGACGCACCAGGTATACGTTCACGGCGAATTAACGTCCATTTAGTGTCATTTCTACAAACAAAACAGATAATCGACGTTTTTCTACGAAATAAACTGGCAATCAACTTGGTTTTAATTGATATCAACTCATAATCAACATCATTTCCACGAACTAAACTGACACTCGATGTAGTTTATACGAAATAAACTCTTAATCAACGTTTCTTCTACGTGATCAACTCGTTGCGTTGCGTCGTATCAACATCAATTGGACGGGTGGGAAGAGTTCATCATCTTTAACTTTACGGAGGAATTAACAGCGAAGAATATGATCGTTGAACTTACCCAGGAATACTCTTTCAGAAAGTATTAAACTCGCGACTAGTGCACAACTATTAGTGATGCCAGGATCCTTATCTTATCATTCAACTGTTGAATATAATGATCCTGAATTCGGACCGAATATCTGCGTAGTCATTTAACCGTTCACGAGGTAATGTTTTAGATGAATTACTTGCCGTCTAGTCAATTAATAACATACCAGAGGTAACTTCTGACGAATCTTGCACTGAAAAAAAGAAATGGACCACGCTCCATTTATCTGACCACATTCCATTCATCTGACCACATTCCATTCATCTGACCACATTCCATTCATCTGACCACATTCCATTCATCTGACCACGTTTCATCAGGCCATCCCTTCAAACGGTGAACATCAAAGCTATAATGGCCTGAGGTACAAGAAAGAGGTTCACATCAACGAAAAGTTAATCCAAGAATTTATTACACTACACTCAAAATTTATTCAAACTTTTTAAAAATTACACACCATTAACATGTCAGTTATAACGCAGACACTGAATGGCTGCTGTGGTATTCTGCCGATTAAGAACCTCAAACTGCGACCATAGGCCTCTGTCCGAACGAAACTAATCAAGTCTAGCAACAAATTTAAATGATGAATTATAAAACGCTTAAAATAACAATCTCAAAACTATGGAAATGACTTAATTGAGGAGAGGTTTGTGTAATCCGCATCTTTGTTTAGTCATTAAATGTGGTACAGCAAACGCTTCTTGTCTGGGATAAAATGGTATCTTCCGTAACTCGGCTTTCTTGCTATTTGGAACAAACTTCTATAGTTCCAGTCAATTCTCCACTAAATTTCATAACCTATACTAATCAACTCTCCCACTTGGAGAATCTAATCTTGCGATAGGAAGGTTGTCGTAAAATTTTATCTTCTTTTTTTTTATCGTCTATCAAATTCAAATTAGATAGTGCGACCTAATCACTATCATAAATTTAGTCAAGATGTCAAATCGGTTAAAATACTAGAATACAAAACGTTCGACTGCCCAGATTTCTTCTATATCATTAAAATGGAACATTAAATTATTCCATTCTGTAAATTTACTAGTGGAATGTATAACTAGAAAGGATTAAGGGGGCCAAATGAAATGGTTATTTGAAACATTGTGTTCGCCAGACACAGGCAGTGGCGGCAAAAACCAGGACGCAAAGGATGATTCCCACGTGGGCGTTCGTGCCCTCGTTCAGGTCCAGCTGGTCCTCTTCTAGGTCTTCATTTACCGATCTTTGTGCTGATCTGCAAGTAGGTCTATCGGAAAGCCTTTCAGGAATGGTTTGAAGGCGAATCCTTTCGTATGCAGGTCTCCTAGCGTTGATTAATTCAGCTTTCCTGGATCGAGGAACAATGGATCTTTCACCCAACGTAGGGCTAAGTTGCTGATCCAAAGTCTCGCAATGAGCCAAGAAGCTCAGTCTACCACGAACGTAGACTATTTCAGCGCGAGTTCGGCTTCCCGGAGGATGTCGTTCTTGATTTTCATCCCAAAGCCTTTCAACGACACGACTCAGGTTCTCGCACATGCTGCAATAACGAACCAAAGAAGGCTCGTTAATATCTTCACTTGGGATGCTTTGAAGCTCAGACACATGCTCTTGTCGCCCATCTCCAGAAGAAGGACCATCCTGACGAGGAAGGACACCAAAGATTTGCTCCAGACCTTCACGGAGTTTTTCTAAGGACGTGCAGGCAGCAGTCGGTTGGTCACTCTGTGTGCTTTTATCCTTGGTTGCTGGATGAGATTCCTTCCTAGAGTGACCTGTCGAACTTGGCTGAATTCGATATCTATTACCTTGGCTTAAAATTGTGTCCTCTTTAAGCGCTATGTCTGGTGCACTTCTCCTGCGAGTGGTTTTAGGTCTAGCTCCTTCTCGTGTCGGAGAAAAGAAATAATTTGTTTCAGGCAGTGTCCACTGATTTTCTGACGTTGATGCATCGTCCCATGCCACTGGTCCATCGGATCTACGCGATCCCATCGACGTACCTGATCTCCCATAGAATTCTTGGGATTTATCCAATCTCCTCCGTGATTCCTCTGGTTCATCTCTTCCACATGTCTTCTCCAATGCATGCAAACTTTTATAAGATTCCTCGAGCTCATTTGATCTCCACGATTCCTCGAGCTCATCCGATTTCAACGATTCCTCGAGCTCATCCGATTTCAACGATTCTTCAGGTTCACTTGATCTTATCCAAAATTCCTCTGGGTCGCCCGATTTTCTTCGCGATTCCGCCGATTTGCCAGATTTTCTGCGCGATTCCTCTGGTGTAACCGACATTCCACAGAAATCTTTCGATGTCGCCGATCTTCCACAGTATTCTTTCGATGTCGCCGATCTTCCACAGGAATCTTTCGATGCACCAGTTATTCCATTCATTTTTCTCGTTGCTCCTGAACTGGAGTTCCTATCATGCACATGTTTAGATCTTGAGCTTCTTGTACTCCGGTCTGCCAATGCAGATGATCGATAATTTTTGGTTATCGCTCCTTTTGGAGCGTTAGTCCTATCTTCGGTCGAGCGCCTTGCTGGAACGTTATGCCTTCTCGAAGTTACTGGACCTAATGGAATTACCGTTTCCCGTTTTGTGCACAATGCTGAAGTCGACGCCTCTGTGGCATCAAATGGTGAAGCGCGTTTACTGAATTTCCCTCTATTCATTTTCGGATGCAATGCCTGAAATCTTTCAGGAGTAACCTTGGCGGCGTCGCCGTATTGTCTCACAGCGCGATTGGATCGCTCGGTCGTGTCGGCTTTGGTGCTTCTTGTGCGGCGACCTGACGCGGGGGAAGGCTTCTTCACAGATGTTAGCCTGAATGGACTTCTATTGTTCTTACTTTTCTTAACAATTTCCTTCAGATTTGCAACTGTTTTCGTTTTGTCCCCAAAGGCCTTCGTTCGAACAGATTTTTTGCTTTTAGGCGGCACGGTGCAAGCTTTTGTTGCATGGCTTAGGATGGGTGGACCAAATGTTGGGTGGATGAAGCTTGGTGGTTCGTGCGAGCGTACCAACACCTGGTAATGATCCTCTGATGGCGGGTTGTCTTCTGTCACGACTGGGCTGGGTTGAGCGGGGGCGATGGCGCCTGGGCTGGGTTGAGTGGGGGCGATGGCGCCTGGGCTGGGTTGAGCGGGGGCGATGGCGCCTGGGCTGGGTTGAGCGGGGGCGATGGCGCCTGGGCTGGGTTGAGCGGGGGCGATGGCGCCTGGGCTGGGTTGAGCGGGGGATGGGCTGGGCGGGGGCGATGGCGCCTGGGCTGGGCTGGGCGGGAGCGATTGCGCCTGGGCTGGGCTGGGCGGGAGCGATGGCGCCTGGGCTGGGCTGAGCGGGGGCGATGGTGCCTGGGCTAGGTTGAGCGCCGGCGATTGCGCCTGGGCTGGGTTGAGCGGCGGCTAAAGCCACAGCTTGGGGTTGCAGGTCGGTGGCTTCAACAGAAACGTTACCGGCGTTCACATAGACGTAATCCTGAAGAAGTTCCGTGCTAGGCACCGAGTCGTCTGAATCTGTTGGGGAAAAATATATTTGTAGTTATTGTCAGGAAAGGCTCACGAATAACCCGATAGTAAATTGTGTCGTTTACGTTCAATTTTCTATTGTTTGCTTCTACGCAATAACTTATGTTCTCGATAAGTTGTGCTGTGCAACTGGATTTTGACTAATCTATATAGTAGCTGATTAATATCTGTCTATTATATTAAATATCCTAGACATAAATACGCGTTTGTCCTGTGCTGTGCTAGTGGCAAAATTTCAATTAAATCTTTAGTAATATTTTTAGTCTTACTTTAAACTGGCGCAAGGTTCGTCATCAGGTGTTGTCGGGCCCATTCAACAAATAAATTATATGAAAATAAAACATTCAGTGGCCGCAGACATTTACGTATGATCGTGTGGTAAAATTAGCGCCATCAAACTGTGGATAGCAATTGAAGCGACCCATCAATAAATAGAAATTCCTAAATAAGAAATACTGTGAGTTTTCTTTAGGCGGACTATTTTTTTCCAACAATGATCTATTCAGGTCCTTATTCCGGACCTTTCTGCATTTACAAAATGAAAACTCAAATTTAGAATCAACGAAATAAATGAACTAATAAACGCAGCAATATGGCGCGGATGACATAAAATACGAGAATAATATAATTCACCAAAACTTCAATGAGAGCTTCACATCAACACCAGGGCACAGACAACACTAAAAATAACCACGTACCTTTGTGGTGGAATCACAAATCAGATTGACTAAGTGTTACCGATTCCTACCGAGGTCACATCGGAGGTGACTAAAAATCGAAATGAGAAATACTAATCTATTACATACAAAAACATTTCATTTCCTTACAGTGTTGTGACATGACCGTCATGGGAAGATATTCTTAGTTTCATCAGTAAATTTCTCCCCTTCAAACCGATCTCAAAATTTCTCATAAGTAATGTAACCAGAGCTGAGGAACTTGTAGACGGAAACAGTATAGTGGTGGCCCACAACTTTCGAATATTTACCGCACACTAATAACCTCGCTACTGGCCTCTTGTTGAGGTCCTACTGGTCACTGAAGGATCCTGAAACCTCAAGGCAAGGCCACGTGCAGGACCATTAGTGTTGGCTAGTGTTAGAAAGCCTTAATGGCCGCCATTACTGTCCGCTTCTAGATGCACCTTAACATAAGCACGTACCCAGAGCTATGCACACATTTTTCCTAAAAATTAATTCTCTCCTATTTTTACCCTGAATGAATTTTCTCCTGTCGCCCTGGGCCCCACCTTGTCCTGGAGAGTCTCCTGTCTGGGTTGCTGCTCCAGACGCTGCGTGTCGCGCTCCTCTTGCAACTCCGGACGGTGGACAGGTCCCCTCGAGCGGCTGATCGTCGCCCTCGGACCGCGGCTGATCGTCGCACTCGGACCGCGGCTGATCGTCGCACTCGGACCGCGGCTGATCGTCGCACTCGGACCGCGGCTGATCGTCGCACTCGGACCGCGGCTGATAATCGCCACTTCCTCCTTCCTGCTCGTCATCAGTATCGCCACTTCCTCCTTCCTGCTCGTCATCATTATCGCCACTTCCCCCTTCCTGCTCATCATCATCGCCACTTCCTCTTTCCTGCTCACCATCATCGTCGCTATCATCCTCGCATTCTGGCATCGCATCATCGTAGTCTCTTTTTTGTTCGACATGATCGTCGTCATCACGTTCGTCTTCTCGTTCACTTTTCTCTTCAAGATCACCTTTCTCTTCTCGACCTTTCTCCTTACTCACATTAATGACGTTACTCTTTTCTCCAACGTCCATTTCTCCTTGAACGTTACTCTCTTCTCCAGCATCCATTTCTCCTTGAACGTTACTCTTTTCTCCATCATTCATTTCTTCTTGAGCATTATTCTTATCTCCAGCATCCATTTCTTCTTGAGCATTACTCTTTTCTCCAACATCCATTTCTCCTTGAACGTTACTCTTTTCTCCACCATCAATTTCTCCTTGAACGTTACTCTTTTCTCCACCATCCATTCCTCCTTGAACGTTACTCTTTTCTCCAGCATCCATTTCTCCTCGAACGTTACCGTTACTTTTTTCACCATCAACGACGTTACCCATTTCTCCCTCACCCATTTCCCCTCGACTGTTCTCAACCGCCAAGTCCTGAGGACCAAACTCTGCCCTCGGCACCTCGTCTGCCCCTCGCTTCAACTTCTTCGTTGGAGTTTCGCCCTCACATCCTAGGACTTCGTTCTCTTTGTCGCGTAGACGACGGTTGTGCTTCATTTCCCCATCCATTTTCCGAGTGTCGTTTGACAAGTGGACAGGTGTAGGCACGGATGGACAGGTGTAGGCACGGATGGACAGATGCAGGCACAAATGGACAGATGCAGGCACAAATGGACAGATGCAGGCACAAATGGACATATGCAGGCACAAATGGACATATGCAGGCACAAATGGACAGATGTAGGCACAAATGGACAGGTGCAGTAGGCACGAATGGACAGATGCAGATATAGGCACGATTGGACACGTATAAGGTCAGGTGCATGGACGGCTGGACAGAACTGACTTACACACGCGTGTGATGGTAGTGTCTCGACTAATGGTCGAATTACCTAAAACAGGAGAAAACAAGGGTTAGTGTTGAAGGTGAGGAGAGACCTCTTGTTCACATGCGAGTAACAACTCATCCGAGATTCAGCGTAAATATTTGATAAGGAGATCAATATGGTTATTATGCTCTAGGTAAAAGTTAGGTTTCAAATCAATTTGATTGGTTACTGAATTCTGCTTGCAATTGCAGTGAGATTACGTTAGCATTAAAGGAACAGATCGAAACATTATCCGTATCAACTTTGGACTCCTAAATCGAATTAAAAATAAGAATCTGCAAGATTAAATGCCTTTCAGGACCTTTGAAATGGGCCAGCAGCCGTCAGAAGTTAGGAATGTATAATGTTACCATTTTTGCTTTAACTTGTATTCAGATTTTATACAGCAAAGGAACTTTCACTTTACGTTGAAGTGGAATCGCTACCATATATATAGAGTAAGTGGAAGGTGCATCCCTATCAAAATTTTGAGTTGAAGGCAACCCTGAATTAGGAACCGCCTAGGATTCGGACCGCACGTGAATCAGCTTCTCTATGTCCTCTTCGGCTCAGTGTTCGAAATGCGCCTTTGGCCGGCAGCTTGCTAGCTCGGTATGACTCGGCTCGCCCTACTCTTCTCATACTCTGAGGCGACTATCAAGTCGGAAAGGAGATTCTGACCAGAAACTGATTTCGATCAGCCAAGCAGACCCAGAATGACTGCGCTGGGTGTAACAACTATTCGGCCGACCCCAAGGCTGTCCCCGAATTTTGTTAGGGATGTTACACTTAGAAGATAACTGAGCTTTATTGTCCAAATAGAGATCCTTACGGTCCATGGTAATACTTTAGATTAAGTGCATCCAAAAAAGGGTGCTTTTTCAATTATATGTTTTTTGGGGTGTAAATTAAGAAACTGAAATTCGTTTTAGGCGGTCGGCATCGGAAATTTTTAATGGAACCTGTTCCTAATTGGACCTAACCTGCGAGATTTTCGTTGATTGGCTAGGTTTCGTAGTCATTTCCTTAAGTTTGTACTCACAATTGCGTCGTGAAGCTCTGCCGTCGTGACGCTGAAGATAAAAAACAATTTTTTCTAGCGGTTAAAAGCACACATGCAGTTCTTACCAAGAACCTGTAACAGGATCATGCTATTTAGGACCATTAGAACCTACAGTTCTGGGGTAAGCGACAGGCAATGCGGGTTCTACACTACTATTTTAAACTGGTTAAACTGAACTGTTAGACATTCTGATACTATAAAGGTTTATATACAAGCCTTTGCTTCAACTATGTATTCTAGGAAATATATTTCAAGATTGGAAAGTGGCGGAATTGCAAGGTGGAAATCTAGGTAGAACAAACCAAGCAGAACTGCATTACTTCGCTATTACAATACAACCAGACCACCAACCTACTCTCCTCCAAGTCCTCACGTTTCAACCAGACCTCCAACCCTCTCCACCAAGTCCCCACGTTTCAACCAAACCACCAACCTACTCTCCACCAAGCCCTCACGTTTCAACCAAGCCACCAACCTACTCTCCACCAAGTCCCCACGTTTCAACCAAACCACCAACCTACTCTCCTCCAAGCCCTCAAGTTTCAACCAGACCACCAACCTACACTCCTCCAAGTCCTCACGTTTCAACCAAACCTCCAACCTACTCTCCTCCAAGTCCTCACGTTTCAACCAGACCTCCAACCTACTCTCCACCAAGTCCTCACGTTTCAATCAGACCACCAACCTACTCTCCTCCAAGTCCTCACGTTTCAACCAGACCTCCAACCTACTCTTCTCCAAGCCCTCAAGTTTCAACCAAAAAGTCAACTATTCAAAAAAAATATTTAAGCTTCACTCAAAAAAGAACGAGTCAGATTGTCCAAATATTGACACATTCAATATTTATTCAATATTGACATCAATATAAGAGCGGACGTACACCTGACACGCCTTTTACCGAGCCAATCAGGCTAATTATGACCCACTCACATGCGAAAAATTCATCGCTATTTAGACAATGTCTCACTTATTCCTTTGAGTGTCTTTCAACATTTTACGTAATTCAGTAGGCATTCAACCATAAAATTCCACCCTGGCCCAGGTTCCTCCAAAAAGTTGAAGCGTTAACCGTTATCTCTGTCCACGGTGACTCTGTTCATACGCAGCTACACATCTTTATTAACTATAGTACTTCCCATGAACTACCATGCCTGGAAACTATACTATAATCTACGACGCCTGGTAACTATACCATGGTCTACCACGCACTGAAGGAAATATATTAACTCTCTTGTATGAATAATTCAGCGCCGCGCTGGCCGATGGTTCTACCTAAAATCGGCTGGCTCTGCTTACATAATTATGTAAATAATATTATGTTGTTATATCATGCAAAGTGTCTAATTTTTTCAAACGCTTACATTTTTTCTACAATAATAATTTCTAGACCTAAAATTCATGCATTTAGCCGATTTACCAACTTGTAGAATAATTCCAATGCAGTAAAACGTCGCAAAATTTTTGCACCTGAATTGCGAACTCGCTTTACACTGTCCACACGTCGCCCATATTTATTTTAACAGCTAAATTTTTATCATTTTTGTCGCAGGCAGAGTTCCAAATAATTAATTAGATCTAATTTATTTAGAATATTATTACTTAGGATACTGTTATTTCAAAAGCCATTTATTTAAAATACTATTTATTTCAAATTCCATATAGTACGAATGTCATTCATTTGGAATGCCATTTAATTCAAATAATATTCAATTCGAATGCCACTTATTTCTAATGTTATAGGAATTCTAGGAAAAACGACATTAAAAAAATTAATTAAGTATTATTTAATTAGAATATCATTGATTTAGAATTTCTTTTATATCAAATGATATTTAATTTTAATGCCATTTATTCGGAAATACATATATCTTAAATACTAATTATTCTAAATACCATTCATTGATTACTGTAATATGTAAATTTATTTCTTTACAGATGGCTGCCTCTACGTCACCCACGGACGCGAAGCTTTCTAGTGAAGCAACAGGAGACCAAACAGCAACTAATTCTATAGGCGCAACTGCCGAACTTGCAGGCCCTTTAGGCCTTGAAAAACTGCCCTCAGTTTTACCATCCTCCGAAAATAAAGGCAGCAGTGCTGCAAAAAATGCGGAAACGGCAAAGACTTTACAATTTCTGCCAGGAATTTCTCCTGTAAATCAAAATCCGGGCGGGAAAATGTCGTTCGATACGCGGGATTTTGACGAGAGAGGACGACGGGGCAGCGAGACCGCGAGTGTAAGCGAAGTCCATTTAGACTGTGGACTGGACAAGAGACATTCTAGTGGACGTGTAAGCTTAAATAGTGAATTAGAAAACGCTGATGGTGAACTTAGGAAGCACAGCAGCGAGAGTGTAGTGAGTATCGTGAGTACAGTGAGTGGTGACGGTTTGATATCGACCGATTTTGGCTATAATGGTGATGATCCAAAGCATGCACCATGTAGAACTTTGTGTGATGATTTGATGCACCACAGTGACATGGACGAGTTTTTTCGCAGCTATGATGATGAATCATCATTAGTAAACGTGGCCAGTTCACGTGATAGTTTAGCATCGACATCATCAGCTCCCCTCAGAACTTTGCCGACCCTCACCTCCCTCGCTAATGACCGCAAACAGGCGGATATTAAACAGAATTTCAGTGATGGGACTCGTAGATTTTCTGTTCCCACAGACGATATTTGTGGCAATAAACTAAATACAAAAATGCCTGCTACCAACAGTATTGTGTTCCCAATTATAAGTGATGATGTCAACAGTCAGAAATCAATACCGAATATCCCTGATGCCGATATCATCAGAGGAGTTTCATCTCCTGTTGAAACTTCTTCGTCTTCTGAAAAAACCTGCATAGTTTCAATTCCTCCAATCACCCACCCAGTTCCAGGTTGCACCGTTTCAAAAGAAGATCTAGAACCAAATCGCATTGTGGAGCAACGGAACCACACTAAAGTGGTTCGCTCGGCCCCGTTCTTGGTTCCACCGCCGCGGTTCTCCGTGGACGACGATGAAGAGGATCATGTTTGGATCGAAGTGGCAGACACTTCCTGCTACTTCGAGTGTCCCGAGCTCCTGCAATCCTTCAGGTCCCTCAAGCCGCGTCTGTCCTACAGGTAATGGCAGGATATTTCCATAATTTTATCCTGTATTTTTAAATTCTGAATTAATGTATTTTAAAGGATCTTCATCCTACAGGTAATTATTATTACGTGTAGTATATTATTATTAGTATTTTAAAAGATCTTCATCCTGCAGGTAATGGCAGGATATTTCCATTGTCTTATCCACTGATTTTAAATTCTGAATTGATGAATTTTAAAAGAACTTCGTCCTACAGATTACGCTTATTCTTCAGCACCACCACTACAGTACCAAAATATTTACATAATCTTATGCTTTGTCTTTGTATTTTGAATTAATGTGTTCGAAACTTCATTTCTTATGCATATTTTTCGCTTATCTTGATTGCATTGCCTCACCATTAGTAGGCCTGTCTGATCGATGGTATTTCAGTGATGGTATATCTTTCTTTTCAATTATCATTCATTTTTCGTATTGAGTTGAGCGGTACGGATGATACGACTGTTCTTACGTGAATAAAATTTTTATGCAGAGGTAAATTTTTATGCAGAGTTGACGCCGGAACAAAGTTTATTTTTAATCTAGTTCATGCTCGATTTGGTTTTTTCAAATTTTCTCCCGTAGAAAATTTTCATTTTATGGCACACTGATATAATTTTTCGTGATGCTGCACATGATGCGGTGTAGTGCAGTCAAAACTCTTGAACGTAGGGTGAAAAACGACATTCACGAAAAGAATAAATTTACGATATCTTGAATAAATTTTGAATGAATAAATTGTTTTACAGACAAAAAGTTTGTGCAGCAAAATGATTTCGTCGGAGACAGATTTTGATTGAAACTAACCCTTTCGTGACTGACGGGACTGTGACGTCCCACTCAATGTTTCACTCTATAACTTGCACACAGCGTACCATTCGAGGCATAGCTAACTACAGGGACACATGAGTAACACTCCTGCGCCATGTCAACTCAAAAGTAGTTGACTGGCGGGACTGTGACGTCCCCCCAACGATTTACTCTATAACTTGCATGTAGCGCTAAATTCAAGGCATAGCTAACTACAGGGACATATTAGAAACACTCCTGCACCTACATATGTCCAATCTAAAGGAATATTAATATTGGTTCTTTTTGGGATATGTTATTATATAAGCTATTACACGCGTTTGCCAAAGGAAGTTTGTGATATTATTCAACTACTAACAAAAAATATTACGAGAATGTTTTTTTTTATCAAAATCAGTGATGTCGCAAATTGTGTCACCTCAGTTGGAACCATATACTACCGGGATTTTCTAGTCCCAATTATATAATTTTACCATTAACATATATTATTTTTTACGGAGATGCAATATTCGGTCCAAGTTCATGATGATTCTGTAGAAAAATACGAATAAAAAGTTGTAGAACACATTGCCGTTACGAAAGAGCTAAATTCGTCTTCACTAACCGTCTCATCGCCTTCATATTCATTATTCAGTATGATTAAGTAATTATCTTTTTGTGTGGTCAAATAATTTTATACTGCCGGTTCGATGCTTTGAATATGATTTGGTAAGTCGTCTTTTGAGAATAAAACGTAAAATTTGGCCGCCGTAATTAGTTAATTAGTTGGCCGCCGAAAAGCCAACTATTTTTATTGTGCAGCACACACTTTTATCCCGTGAGGGCCTTGACTTTACATGGCGATGTTAGGTAGGAATATTATTGCCGAAGTTTGAGCCTACAGCTTTGATAGGAATAACATTTTGGGGGTCTAAATTTACTGTCCCGTAGAAATAGCATTGCGGCTGAAGTGGGCGCTTGAATCACAGCGTGCAGCGCGATTAAATCTCCGCCGTTATTGTGGCGTCAGGTGGTCGTAATTTACGCCGTTATTGTGACGTCAGGTGGCCGTTATTTACGCCGTTATTGTGGCGTCAGGTGGTCGTTATTTACGCCGTTATTGTGACGTCAGGTGGCCGTTATTTACGCCGTTATTGTGGCGTCAGGTGGTCGTTATTTACGCCGTTATTGTGACGTCAGGTGGCCGTTACTTACGCCGTTATTGTGGCGTCAGGTGGCCGTTATTTACGACGTTATTGTGGCGTCATGTTGTCGTAATTTACGACGTTATTGTGGCGTCAGGTTGCCGTTATTTACGACGTTATTGTGGCATCAGGTGGCCGTTATTTACGACGTTATTGTGGCGTCAGGTTGCCGTCATTTACGACGTTCTTGTGGCGTCAGGTGGCCGTTATTTACGACGTTCTTGTGGCGTCAGGTGGCCGTCATTTACGACGTTATTGTGGCGTCAGGTTGCCATTATTTACGACGTTATTGTGGTGTCAGGTGGTCGTTAATTACGACGTTATTGTGGCGTCAGGTGGTCGTTTTTTACGACGTTATTGTGGCGTCAGGTGGTCGTTATTTACGACGTTATTGTGGCGTCTTGTGGCTGTTATTGTGGCGTCTTGTGGCCGTTATTTACGACGTTATTGTGGCCGTTATTTACGACGTTATTGTGGCGTCTTGTGGCTGTTATTGTGGCGTCGTGTGGCCGTTATTTACGACGTTATTGTGGCGTCTCAGGCCAAGCCGTTACTCAGGACAAAAGTTCCACAAAGAAGAGGGAGGTTCAGGTGCAGTGTCTACACTTAAAAAACAATTGGGTCACACTGTCCAAATATTGACGACACATTTTCTGCTCATTTCACTGATACTTTCTTTTGCCAGGTCGAACTGGGTCAAGATGACCTGCACAAGGGCTAAAACTCATGGGACAAAATTTGGACAAAATCTCATTCATTTCTTTTAGTGAATACATACATTTCATAGTCCATAATTTGTTCAACCCCCCTATGCCCCACCCTCCCCCTCTTCCGCAACCCTCCGTTTCCCCTCCCCTCACCCCCATCTTATTTAAGTCATTTTTACAACACTTCTCTTTAACTTCACTTCTTGTTGTTTGTTTATTTGTCTGCTACAAATCTTATAATCGATATTCAATACACTTCTACCTGTTCAATCAATCTGAAATTTTGCACTTGCGTAAAGTCGGAGACAATGCATGAATAAGTTGACAAAATACATAATTTAAAAAATTACATTTATTTTGATTTTTAAAATAAATTTAAAATTAACTTTTGCAATAGTTGATAATAAAATTATAAATTCATTGTACATGTGTAACATCGGAGACACTATCTTCTTTATAAGTGTTGTCTTTAAAAAAAAGTAATTTTTAAACACATGTTATTTTATTTGAAGTCAAAGAATGGCAGATGGTATCCATGATACCGGACACCAAACAAACATGGCGTCGTAAAATATATTAATGAGATAGCCGGTTTTGGTCCTAGCGAGCATAGACTAAATAAGCGCTTTAAAGTTATAACTTTCCGCTTAAAGTTAGAATTTATAGCTTAAAAGTTAGAACTTATTGCTTCTAAAATGAGATTTAATGCTTCTAAGTTGAGATTTATTGTTGTTAAGTTACAAATTATTGCAGTGTAGTTAGGGATTATCGCTAAAAGGTTGAAGGTTATTCCTTCCAATTTTAAAATTATTGCCTAAAGTTATACGTTACCGCTTAAAAGTTATGACTTTAAAATTGAAATTTATTGCGTCTAAGTTTAAAGTTATCACCATTGAGTTATAAATGAGCCGCGCTTAACTGTTTCATGCTTTATGGAGCGAAATTAGGAGCCTGATCTTAAAAGCTAGGGAGATAACGTTAGCCTTTAAAAAAAGGTCTTTTTAAGCGGGCCTTTATAACGCGGGCCCGTCTAAGCTGGCTTTCTAAGCAGGCCTTTGAAAAGGCCTTTATTAAACGGGCCTTTAAAGTGAGTGGCAAGGCGGCAGTTTGGCTGCCATTTGGCCTGATCAATGACCACTGATTGATCGTCGGCTGGGGATAAATGAGGTGACTGCTCCCTGCACGAATTATCCTGCTGGTCTGCTCCTAGTTGGCCTGTTCCTAGTTGGCCTGCTCCCAGCTGGTCTGCTTCTAGTTAGTCTGCTCCCAGCTGGTCTGCTCCTAGTTGGCCTGCTCCTAGTTTGTCTGCTCCCAGCTGGTCTGCTTCTAGTTAGTCTGCTCCCAGCTGGTCTGCTCCTAGTTGGCCTGTTCCTAGTTGGTCTGCTCCCAGCTGGTCTGCTCCTAGTTGGCCTGTTCCTAGTTGGTCTGCTCCCAGCTGGTCTGCTCCTAGTTGCTTGTTCCTAGTTGGCCTGCTTCCAGCTGGTCTTCTCCCAGCTGGGAGCAGACCAGTTTAAATAGATAATATCACAAACTGCAACATTGTTGTTAGTGTAACAATATAACTGCAAGAATATATTTGACATATTATCGCGCACACTAACTATTGTACGGCAAACATATCACATATAATAGCCACCATATTGCTTAAATAAAGCACATAATCACAATATTGCTAGCACATCACGCATAAGAACAATAATATTGCTAACATTTCACACATAATAGCACTCGTATTAAATATTTCATCATACATCAGCTTAGCACGTTTGTTGTGAATTTCTTCACTAAAATGTGCGTAAAGTTTCCGCAGACTTTTGATCAGTTGAAAAATTTTCTCAGACATTTGGCACGATGGAAGTTTTTGATGTATGCCACATGGCGTGGCTGTCATGTGGCATGTCACACGCCACATATCACGCCATGTGGCCCGTCACACGCCACATATCACGTCATGTGGCACGTCACACGCCACATATCACGCCATGTGGCACGTCACACGCTATGTGGCACGTCGCACGCCACATATCACGCCATGTGGCACGTTATGTCGTCAGGGGTCAGCGTGTCCGGTTATGTTGCCTGCTATTCAAATGTCATGTCGGGCGACATAAAGATTCTTATCGCCGCCCCTGCGTTTGTTATTGCGACCTGACTTGCTTACATCATGGTCGTGTCATGGTCGTGTGTCCTTTATCATGGTCGCGTCATGGTCGTGTCATGGTCGTGTCATGGTCGTGTCATGGTCGTGTGTCCTTTATCATGGTCGTGTCATGGCCGTGACATCGGCGGCCACGAC